ATCAGATTAAAAAGCAAAATGGTCAAACACTTTACAGTACAACTAAAAAAGTAAGTAAGTAAGAAAAGTAAGTCAGCTGTGTATGCAAAATTAGGAGAAGTTATCAGCGTACTGGAAAAAAAATAGCACTCTAAGCTTACCATTGTTTTGGACTTGAATTATGTATTCAGAGGAACTGTGTTAATACTGGAATAATGGGCTCAGAACAAATATCGGGTTACCAGTAATGGGGAAATCAAATTCAGTACTATGTGACAGTTGACCTAGCAGTCAATAATGCAGCAGACAAAGGACCGCTCTGGCCATGGGATACCATTTTGAAAACTGTCCCTGTAACAGATTTCACTTGAGGCCATCAACAAATCGAAATTAAGAAAAAAGTGGAGAGGCTACAAAGAATTCAAAAACAGGATGTGAAGTTAGGATCCCTTTGGGAACAAGCCTTCAGCCAAAACATGAATGAAGGTCAAAATTTAGTAATAAAGCAAGAACTCCTCTGTGTAAAATCAAAAAATGATTTAGTATGGGTGGGATCATAAAATATGCAAAAAGATCTGCTCTTATGGGTGCATGGGCCCATCCCAAACAGGCAGAGGCCAAAGACAGGTTGGCAACAATGGAAAAGGGACCTGAAGATGCTTCTTATCTGTGCCAGACACAATCCAGCTCTCAAAGAAAGTAAAAAAGCTGACATAGGTCCCAGAGGTTCATGGAAAGGAGATCAAATCAACTGTACTGGGGAGCTGCCCTTATCACCAAGGGGGAACAAGTATGTGCTAGTTGTTGTCAATGCTTTCTCACATTGGGAGGTGGTGGACTTCCACACTAAATTTGTGACTGCCCTAATGAGAGCGAAACAATTGGTGGGCAATGTGTTCTGCAGAGAGGGGAGGGGCCTAAGGCTATTGACTCGGACAATGATTTGTGGGGTCAGTTGTCAAAGAAGTGTGCACCCAGCTGGATGTAGAGCAAAAGGTTCCCTTTCCCTGTCAGTCAGCCAGCAGCAGGACAGGTTGAATGAATGAATAAGACAATCAAAAAGAAAAGAAAAAAAGAGGTGCTGCAACAAGCAGCAATGAGCTGTAGCCCATGAAAGCTTGTGCTCAAATAAATTGGTTAGTGAGGTGCCACACATCCTCCTCGTGCTTTTTACTGGTATTAATGCGTTTCACAGATAGGGATGCAAATCCACAGCCTTTTCCCCCAATGTGGCCTGATGGAAAGACCAGTGAGAGTGTGGAAGGATATAATTAACCCCGTTCAGTCTATCTGGCTAGAGAAGCCCCGTCAGAAGCCTGGGTACAGGACTTGCAGATGCAGATTCTGCAGCTACAGAGGAGTGTGGTGGCGAGAGAGGACAGGAAAGTGTAAAACACCAAGGCATGGTCTGATGCCAGAGGAGACCTGACTGAGCACCAAGTAGGATCTAAAGTCATCATCAAGGATCCGGCTCCCTGCAAGCCTTTCCCAAAGGCAAAGTGGTCTGGTCCATGCTTAGGGTTGGCTCCACTTAACCCTTCCATATAACCTCATAGTCCTGGGAGGTATTACTAAAGCAATACCTCTCACTTTAGAATTTAAAGCAACTAGAAACAGAGAGCCCTACCCCATCTCAGTTTACAAACTTCAAGTTTGTCAGATGTGTCTCCGGGAGCATAGCAATGGCAGCATTCTCTTTACGCATTGAATATATTTTTTCTTTCAATAGGGTTACTGAAACCCTTTATATTTCAGGACACACATTTAGTTCTCAGAGCCATCCTTGTTAAAATATAAAGCCGCTTAGTGAATGAATGAGACATTGAAAATTTTCCTGCGCAGTAAACAGCTTTTGAATATCTACGCAGCCAAAGTTATATAATCTGGGGGTAGAGAGTAGCTTCCTGGTACATATTCTACAGGCATGGGAAGGAAATTCCCAGCATGGAGGCAGAAAGAGGGATTAAATAAAGTGAAAGAAAAAGATAGTGGAGAGAGAAATATATGTTAGTACCATACCATCAAAAAGAAATATTTTTATCAAGTGTGTAGTTTTGGATTGTTTTTTAACCAGAGAGGGCAGGCAAAACTTGGAGATCCTCACAGCCCCTGGGGTTCTGAACATTACAATTATAGTAGTCATCTATTTCCAACCAATAGAACCCACATATACTTTAGTCCATCAGGAAGCACCATCTAATAAAGCAATGATGATAGATCGATTTTACAGTGATGCTCCTTCTACATGATTTAAGGCAATAGGAAGTAAATTGTTAATAATTTTATAACCCTTCAGCCCCAATGAGAGAGAAAAAAAGAGAAAAAAAACTAACATATCAATATCAGCTAGCACCCAACTTGTTTACAGCAACCATATCTGATTTCAGAGAGCAATAGATAAATTCCATACACTCTGATCATTCCATAAACATCTTGTCTTGCAAAGGGGAGTCTGCAGAATTTGGAGGTATTTTTCTTCCTCCTAAGGGGAAATGAATGATACTAACCCCATTCTTAATATAGAGCTTAGCCAGGTATTTAATAAACTTCCTAGCCAATTGTTTCACTTAGTAAAAAGTTGCCCTCAATCCAACTACATCACGGCATAATCTTGAGAGAGCAGTATTTTAATTGCTGGCTCTTCCCATAACCACTCCATGTCTCTCTCTGGATTTCTGCAGTATTAGCTTCTTAGTGGTAAACTTCAGGAGCTTTACAATCAAACGCTCTAAGCCGACTTCCAAGAGCTGGCTGGGGGGGCAAGGTCCGGTATGCCCATTCTATATCAAAATAAAAAGCTATTGGAAAATCCTACAATTTAGCAATCTACGGACAAATTCAGAAGGTTTGCCTTTCTCTATTCCCTCAGAGACACCCACAGTCCTCATGTTACATGGTCTAGAGTGGCTTTCTAGACCAATTAGTTTTGTCTTGATATCATTACAGCTCTTTATAACCTGTTATTTGTTCTCTTTAAAATCATCTTCCACTTCAGAAAGTCTGTTCTGCTTCACCAGTCTGTCTGGCTAGAGCTTGCAGTGCACTCAGTCTCGGTCATGGTGCTCTGTCGGATGGAAACTGTAGATTTAATTTCAGCAGTGTGAGTGGCAACCTTTGTTGTTACAGCTATCAGCCCTATCCCATGAGGCTCAGGTACCATTTGTTTGGATAAGTGGGGAGGCAGCTCTCCTCTGTTTTTTCCATACTTTTAGATTTGGAGAAGCAGCAGCAGAGCTTGAGGGCATCTTGGACACCTCGATCACAGTGCCCTGTGATGTTCAGGGCTGGACTTCTTGACTGAAAAGCAGCATATGCTGCTATCTGGCACACTGCCTTGTTGGTCAAGACATTACCTTGATGGGTTGTTATGGCTATAGAAATGATGCTCTGAAACAGACAATTCCAAACCACGTTAGGAAATAAACTGAATGCTTAGGGGATCCAGAAGAACAGGATCCCTCAGAGATCTGTCCTTGCCCCTACTTATATCCAATATGTTTTCAAACGATCTGTCTCCAACTACCTCAAGGCCACTCAAGTGTGCAGATGACATCTGTCTAATGTCAAGAGAAAAACTTCAAAAAGACTGGGGACAACTTGAACCAAGATACGGCAGACAACCCTTAGGACTGGAAGAAGTGAAGACTTAATCTCAGTATGTCAAAGACAGTGTTGTCATGGTTTCATCTCACTCAAGCTAATGCTTCACAAGAACTCAACCTGTTCTTGCATGGAGAATGACTGGCTCATGACACAAAAAAAAAAAAAAAAGCCAGCATATCTAGGAGTCACTCTAGCTTGCATGCTTACCCATAACACCCAAACCACCAAGAGAGCACAGAAAATTAACAGCAGAAATGGCCTCTTAAAGAAGTTTGCAGGCTCAAGTTGAGGAGCTAATGTGCAAGCACTGGACAGTTCAGCAGTAACTTTCTGCTACTCACTTGGGCAACACTGTGCTCCTGTGTGGTTAAACTCTTACCACACCATGCTAGTTGATGTGCTGTTGAATCAAATGATGAGAATAACAGGGACTACAGGACCAACAAACACGGATTGGCTACCAGTCTTTTCTAATATCCTTCCTTCTAACATCAGTCATAATATTGCAGCGAAGAACCTCCTTGATACAATCCAGGAGATAATCACCAGGCCACTTTTCAAAGATACAGTGCCTCGCCACTGACTCATCATCAGAACACCAATCTGCACTATGTTACGCAACTGCTCCACGGTGGACGCTGTGACACTGTGGTGAGCAGAATGGGAACAAGCTGCTCCCTGTCTACGAAATTTCTCTCTCATCACTCATCCTGATGGAAGACCTCCTGCCTTCAGGCTGCCACATTATCTGTTGTACAAGCTCAACCATTTCAGATGTGGGGAAGAGAGGTGTGTGGATACTGACCACACCTGGGGATCCAGAACAGCCCCGTGTGGCTGCGGGTGGGGATGGACGCTGCGCACCTACTGCTCACCTCATGCTGGTCTCTCAGGAGGCCATTCCAGACTCCGTACTGCTGACCCCAAAGCTACTGAATAGCTAAAACACGCGAGATGTCTACCTAAGCCCTTTTGACATTCTTTTGACGTACACATTTCTGTTTTTATCTCCCTACTTTCTATGTTGTCATTTGAACTCTCTTCCATCTTTATTGTACTACTTGTGCATTCACTAATAACAATGCAACTGCAGAGACTCTATAGAAAAGGATTGTTCATTCCATCACATCCAGTCCCCTCTGTCACTTGGCCAGAAGTTTCTCCCTTTTCCTGAACTATGTTGTCTTCAGTGTATAAATGGCTGAGCTGACAGATCCAGGGCCCAGAACTGCTCACTGGTAACAATAGGAATCAAACCTGTTCCCCACTACACAAAAACTATGGACACCAGTACAAAGAATGAATGAGACCCCATAGTCATGAGTTGGCTCTATGAGCAGAGAAAAGACTTTTGTTAATGTGTGCACACTTAGCATTGGTTGTGAGGTATAAAAAGGCAGTTGCCCGGCTGGAGTACTATGGCTTGCAGCCTGAATCCAACTACGATGGAAAAGGTAAGAGAAACCTGTCTGGACTGGATTGTTTGGTATGTCTGTCTGAAGCCAGGGACCTGATTCTCCTCTCATTTACAACAGAGTTAGCCAGGGACCTGATTCCCCTCTCATTTACATCAGAGTTAGTCTCCTGATGTCAAAGGAGTTACTTCTGGCCTATCCCAGTAGGAGAGGAGAATCAAAAATGCAGAGTGAGGGAACCTACTGCCTCTAATAGTCCCTGTATATTAAACTCTCAGAGCCCAATTCTGCTTTCACTTACACTTGTAAGTAAAACGTAAGGCCCAGACATTTCATGCTTACTGTGCTGGACAGAGAGAAATTGGAATGCCAGCACGCAGTCACACTGTATAGGATGTTACTGAAAACTGTGCCGTTTGTTTCTTGCACTAGATCATTCTTTTCGAGGACAGAAACTTCCAGGGCCGCTCCGTTGAGTGCAGCAGCGACCGTCTGGATTTGCAAAGTCAGCTCAGCCGCTGTAACTCTGTCCGCGTGGAAAGTGGCTGCTTCATGCTCTATGAACGTCCCAACTTCCAGGGACAGCAGTTCTTTCTGAAACGGGGAGATTATCCTGACATGCAGTCTGAGGGTTTCAGCACCTCCATTAAGTCCTGCCGGATGATCCCAACTGTGCGTTCCATTTTGCCTCTTTTTTTTTTTTTCTTCCAAAAACGGTAACATTGCCCAAACCACCATCATAAGGTTCTTATTTGATCATTTTCAGCCGAGCTACTGGGGACTGAAAACGAGAACAGCTTTCTTCCTCCTAGTGGTCATCCATCCAGGATGGCTAGGGGAACATTCAAGGGATAGGACAGGAAAGCTTCCACTGCTACTACCTTTTCAGGGCCTGGATGCAGCTCTCATTTGGTTAAGTCTATGGACAGTAAATGACAACATACTTTGAGTTAAGAAGGGAAAAGTTTTCCATAACTTCTGGGCATTTGGAGATACACTGGGCCGACTGCCCTCACACTGCTGTAAAATAAGGAATAATCAGTGATGCCCACAGAGTTACACCAGTGTGAGGGGAGAATTGGGCTCCAATATTTTCTGTGACTCTTTAGAACAAAGTCACTTCTCAGTTTCCTTGATTCTGGGGCTGCTGAAGCCTGAAACAGCCCCCAGCAGAACTTGGCATAGCCCAGGAGACCACTGTGCTCACTGAGGATTGGCCAGCATTGTACACTCAGCCCCGCCCTCTCTTGCACTTTGATGGGCTCCCTCCTCCCGACCCCAGATATGCTCCCTGCACCAAGGGTGGGAGTCACGGCTGGTGTAGGTCTGAGTCAAATAGGTGGATGCGCTGCCTTTACAGCATTCAAGGATTCCCCTCCTCTGGGGACCAGAGGCAGTTTTAAGTGCCCTTTGCATCACTGGAGCAGGGCACAGGGCTGACTCAGGGCCCAGAATCACAGGCAGCCAGCCTGGTGCAGTCACTGTATTACCCTGTCTCGTTTTCTGTCACAGCACAGGGGCACCTATAGGATAAAGATCTATGAGAAGGAGGATCACAGAGGCAAGATGGTAGAGTTAACCGAGGACGCTCCGCAAGTCATGGACCAGCTACGCGCCCACGAGATGCTCTCTTGTTCTGTGCTGGACGGACACTGGATCCTTTACGAATTGCCGAATTACAGAGGCCGCCAATACCTGCTGAGGCCAGGGCAGTACAGGAGATTCAGTGAGTGGGGCTCTATGAGTGGCAAAGTCGGCTCTTTGAGACGTGCCACTGATCTTTGCTGAATCAAGACGCCTTTTGCCTGGAAGGGTCTCAATGAATAAAATGCTTTAACAGCCATTGTGCTCTCAGCGTGCTGTTGTAAGTGTACTAAGGGGAACGTCGAGATTTGTCCTGTGTTCTTGGGCTACGGTATCATCTTCTGAACCAAACGTTGTCCCTCATCTTTCCCTGCCCTCCCCCAGCATTGCATAGCTACTTCTAGCACAAAGTCAGTCAGCTCAGTATGGAAAATTAACAGAAGTTATCAGTGTGCTGATTAAAGAAAAAAAACTCACTCTAAGCTGATTTTTGTTCTGGACTTCAATTAATGCTAGCCTAGTGGGCCCTGAACAAATACCAGGCTACCAATAAAAGATAAATCAAACTCAGACCCATGTGGCAAATGCTAAATGCCAAACAGTTTGACAAAGTGGACAGAGCCTTAGACTTTAAGGTTAGAAGGAACCATCATGATCATCTAGTCTGATCTCCTGCACATTGCAGGCCACAGAACCTCACCCACCCACTCCTGTACTAGACACACAACCTGTGGCTGGGTTACTGAAGTCCCAAAATCATGATTTAAAGACTTCACGTTACAAAGAATCCACCTTTTAAACTAGTTTAAACTTGTAAGTGACCCGTGCCCCATGCCGCAGAGGAAGGCAAAGAACCCCAGAGTCTCTGCCAATCTGACCCAGGAGAAAATTCCTTCCCAACCCCAAATAGGGAAAGAATTCTATGTAGTAACTCAGAGCCATCTCCATAAAGTGTCTCATCACTGGCCATTGGAGATATCTGCTGCCAGTAGCTGCACATTAGCTACATGCCATTGTGTAGGCAGTCTCATCATACCATCCCCTCCAAAAACTTATCAAGCTCAGTCTTGAAGCCAGTTAGTTTTTTTTCCCTCCCACTACTCCCCTTGGAAGTCTGTTCCAAAACTTCAGCTCCTCTGATGGTTAGAAACCTTCATCTAATTTCAAATTTAACCTTTTTAATGGCTAATCTATATCTATTTGTTCTTGTGTCAACATTGGCATTTAATTAAAAAAACTCCTCTCCCTCCCTGGTATTTATTCCTCTGATGTATGTGTGAAGAGAAATCATAGCTCCCCCGGCCTTCATTTGGTTACGCTGAGTTTCCCCTCAGAGGGTAGGTTTTCCATTCCTCAGATCATCCTAGTAGCCCTTCTCTGCACCTGCTCTGGTTTGAATTCATCTTTCTTAAATGTGAGAGACCAGAACTGAACAAAGTATTCAGGATGAGGTCTCACTAGTCCCTTGTATAATGATACGAGCACTTCCCTATCTCTACTGGAAATACCTTGCCTGATGCATCCTACGACTGCATTGGCCTTTCTCACGGCCGCATCACACTGGCAGCTCATAGTCATCCTGTGTTCAACTAATGCACCCAGGTCTTTCTCCTCCTCTGTCACTTCCAACTCAAAAGTCCCAAGCTTATAGCAAAATTTCTTGTTAGTCCTTAAGTGCATGTCCTTGCACTTTGCACTATTAAATTTCATCCCTTTTCTAGTACTCCAGTTTTCATGGTCATGTATGATATTCCAGCCCTCCTCCATATTAGCAATGTCTCCCAATTTTGTGTCATCCACAGATTTCATTAGCACATTCCCACTTTTTGTACCAAGGTCAGTAATAAAAATGTTAAATAAGATTGGTCCCAAGACCGATCCCTGAAGAACTCCAGTAGTAACCTCATCCAGGCTGACAGTTCACCTTTCAGTATGTCCCATTGTAGTCTCTCCTTTAACCAGTTCCTTATCCATCTTTCAATTCTCATATTAATCCCCATCTTTCTCCAATTTAACTAATAATTTCCTATGTGGAACTGTATCAAATGCCTTACTGAAATCCAGGTAAATTAGAGCAGATAGATTAGATCTACTGAATTTCCTTTGTCTAAAAAAGTCAGTTATCTTCTCAAAGAAGGAAATCAGGTTGGTCTGGCATGATCTATCTTTTGTAAAACCATGTTGTATTTTCCCCCTGTGACATTCCCCTGGTATTATCTGGACCAGTGATCTGCTAGGTCACTCCAATCCTCGACTCTGGGAGCCAGCCCTACCCTGCTCCGCTGTGAGAACCCCCACTCCCGGGGTGTTCACGCACAGCCTCTAGCATGTAAGTTGCTCCCAGCTACATGAGTGAGCACATTTGGCCAGCCGCTGCTTGGATTGTTTAACTGAATGACACTAGCCAATATCTCTGGTCCCAGACACAATTCTAGAAACCTCCGTTTTGCAGTGTCCAGTTATGCCCGCTGGACGCTGCAAGCTTGTATGAGTTCATCAATTTAATAAAGAAATTGATATGTACCAGGTTAGTTATTCCAAGGGGAGTCTCTGACATGCTTCAAACCAAATGCACTGCTTCAGGTAGAACAAAAACAAACTTATTAATTACACAGGATAGATTTTAAGAGATTAAAGTCAGATCTGGTCAAATGAAATAAAAGCAAAACGCATTCTAAGCTGATCTTAACACTTTTGGTGCCCATACAAACTTAGATGCTTCTCACCACAGAGTGGCTGGTTGCCCTTCAGCCAGGCTCTCCCCTTTGATCAGTGCTTCAGTTGCTCGGTGGTGGTATCTGCTGGTGGAGGTAGGAGAGAGAGAGCATGGCAAATGTCTCTCCCTTTTATCCTGTTCTTTCTTCCCTCTTGGCTTTGCCTCCCGCCCTTCAGAGTCAGGTGAGCATTACCTCATCATAGTTCCAAACTGACCAAAGGAAGGAGGGTGACTCACTTGAGAGTCCAGCAAATCCTTTGTTGCTGCCTAGGCCAGTGTCCTTTGTTCATAGAATCATAGAATATCAGGGACCTCAGAAAGTCATCTAGTCCAACCCGCTGCTCAAAGCAGGACCAATCCCCAATTTTTGCCCCAGATCCCTAAATGGCCCCCTCAAGGATTGACCTTACAACCCTGGGTTTAGCAGGCCAATGCTCAAACCACTGAGCTATCCCTCCCCCTGCGAGGCTGGGCTAGGTTTGTCCCATACATGCCCTGATGAGGTGTTAACTACCCCTTTGCTCCTGGGGAGTTTTGCCTGGGCTTCTTTTAAGCCATGAGGACACATTTTCAGCCTCATAACTACATACATGAATTTACAATCTATAACATTACTATAACAACAATGCTCAGTGCATCATGAGCCTTCCAAAGACACCCACATGACAAACTTTGCATTGGATACCACACAATCATATTATAAGGATGAATATGGGGTGTATGGTGTTCCCCCGAGGTACAGAGTGTTCCTTCCCCGCCCCCCGCCCCATTACCTCTATGTCCCTAACTACTTTTTCTTTCAAAATTTGTTCCAAGACCTTATAAACAATTAAGATCAAATTAATAGGCCTAAAGTTTCCTGGATCACTTCTCTCCCCCAGCTCCTCCCCGACACACACACACACACACACACACTTCTTAAAAATAGGAACTATATTAGTAATTCTCCAGTCATAGAGTACAACCCCTGAACCTAAAGATTCATTAAAAATCTTAGCTATTGCGTTTGAAATTTCATGTACCAGTTCCTTTAATATTCTTGGATGGGGATTATCCGGGCCCCCCAGTTTAGTCCCATTAAGCTGTTTGAGTCTGAATTCTACCTCGGATATGGTAATTTCTACTTCCATATCTTCGTTCCCAATAGGCACCCTCCAACTACCCCTAAGCTCCTCATTAGCCTTATTAAACATTGACGCAAAGTATTTCTTTAGGTGTTGGGCCATGCCTAGCTTATCTTTAATCTCCACCCAATCCTCAGTGTTTAGCAGTCCCACTTCTTCTTTCCTTGTTTTTTTTTTATATGGTTATAGAACCTTTAACTGTTGTTTTTAATTTTCTTTGTGACGTCCAACTCTGCTTGGCTTTTGGCAGGTCCCACTTTATCCCTACACTTTCTGATCTCCAAAAAGTAGCTTTTCTTGCTGATCCATCCCATCTTCCATTCCTTGTAGGATTTCTGCTCTCTCTTAATCACCTATTTGAGATGCTTGCTCATCCAGCTTGGTCTTCTACCCTTTCCTACAATTTTTCCCCCTTGCTTGCTGCACCCAGGAGCCACTATTATAAAAGAAATGTTACTCCACAATATCTGGAAAATTATATCTGTAGCTAGACTAATATTTTATATTTTAATTTCCCACATGTGCCACTCTGCACCTCCCCGAGGTTTGTGGTTTGGTGGGCAACATTGACCCCTGCCATCCAAAACTACAATGATGTTCAAAGTGGGGGGTATGGTCCTCTGGCTCCACCACTTCTGGCACCATTGACGGGACGTGCCTTGCCACTGATGCATCAGCAGAACACCAATCTGGAATATGCTACCGACCAGCTCCATGGTGGATGCTGTCACACTGTAGCGAGCAGAATGGGAACGAGCTGCTCCCTCTCTAAGGCATTGTCCACACTATACAGTTTTGTCGGAAATCTCTGTTGTTTTGCCGAAACAATAAAACCACGTGGACAACAGACATGGAGCTTTTTACAGCAAAGTTAAAGCGACAAAGTGTCAGTGTAGACGCTGCTGTTCATTATGTTGCCATAACTGGCCTCCCCCAGTATCCCACAATGCCCACCGTGACCACTCTGCTCACTGTTTTGAACTCGGCTGCCCTGCAGGCATGTGCAAGCTTTGACATTCCTCAGTGTGGAGAGCTCAAAGAGCTGCTGAGGATGCTGCTCCTGGCAGCTGAAGAGGCTGTGGGAGAACTCGGAGGGAATCACAGAACCATTGATGTGGAATTGGCAGGCAGACAGAGCAAGCTGCTTCTACGGGGGCGGGAGGGGACAAAGATTGCTGTGCAGATCCAAAAAGAAAAGGAGTACTTGTGGCACCTTAGAGACTAACCAATTTATTTGAGCATGAGCTTTCGTGAGCTACAGCTCACTTCAAGCTCATGCTCAAATAAATTGGTTAGTCTCTAAGGTGCCACAAGTACTCCTTTTCTTTTTGCGAATACAGACTAACACGGCTGTTCCTCTGAAA